TATTAGTATTGGTATTATGCATATTCGCATTAGCCTTTATGTAAGTGTTTAGTGTCGGTCTTCTTGGAAGTGTTATTCTGTCATTCGTAGGAGTATTAATACTTATGTTAATATTGATATCAGTGCAAATGTTGGCGTTTGTATTAATAACAGTATTAGCTTTCATACTAATATTAATATGATGATTTGTATTCGCAGGTTTATGTGCATTAGTATTATTGGGTTTCATATTCGAATGAGTGAATAAACAAAAGAAAATTAGTTCCAGCATCACTGTTACTAAGAATATTCGTCTGAGGAGTATGTGGCAATAGTTTTAATATTAGCATAAACTTTCAGACTTGGATCAAAATTACTGCAAATACGGAAATAAATAGTCGTAGGGATATTAGGCGCGGTCTGTCAACCGGGTGGGGGTGAGCATATGTATATATTTACATAGTACACATATGCCATCTTCGTTTGCCATCCATTTGTTTCTTAAGTTTTCTGTCGGTCGTACCTAGCGCATGCATGTACTCTTGTGCGCCAGGTGCTTGCATATGCTCATATATGCAAGTGCTGTACATGTCTGCCTGTGTTTGTCTGCGTGTTCGTGTGTGCATACATCTATGTATCTACATGCTTCTACATACATGATTGGATGCACAAAGGCGCACACACACACACATCTGATTTGGTTTGTATATGTATGTGTGAATGCATACATGCATCTGCATACATATACACATTAAATATATATATATATATATATATACGTACATACATATACATGTTACACCTGTATATGTAATCAATACATAATTAACGTTAATAACAGCACGAACAGTAATAGCAATAATCATAAAAGCCGAATGATAATAGTAGTTACGTTCATATTCATAAACACCATCATAATCATAGTCACGGATGAGCAAATAATCGAATACACATACGCGCAAACTATTTGTGCAACTCCTTTTCTGGATGATGCCCTATTTATAGCCGAAACGTGGCGAAATGATCAACAACAACAGACACTGTACACGCAGGGGTCCGATGCGGAACAGGTTGGATGGTTCCACGCAGTGTGTTGAGATCTTGCATCGCATTGTCATGGCTATCAACATCTACAAGTTATGACAGCCCAAAGGCCTGACCCTTGACTATACAGCGACAAATCCGATCCTCGACACCCCAAGCAGAACAATAATTACTATCTCAAGTTCAATTAGAGGTCCAAACCCTCCGGGCCAGAATTACACCTCCATACTGGAGATCACGCTTGTATTGGAGATGTAACCGCCATAATCTAGGGGCCTTTATAATTAGAATAGGGTTTTGGGGTATATCATGCTATAACTATAATAAGGAACCCCCAAAATAGTGTCGGTCATTATTTAGGCCCCTACATTTAAGAGGCTTCCTGGAAACCGTAAAATCCCCCGTGTACGCTCGTGTCCAGGCCTGTAGCCTCACCCGTAGCGACGGCAGAGATCACTCCTTCAGGATGGCACTCACATGCTTTGGTCGCAGTCTGACGGCCAGCATATTTGGTGGGTTAAACCATGTGAGTGTCTGCGCCCTTGACAAGGTTGCGGACAACCAACCTTCAGATGGTATGCCGAGAGCAGACTGCCTAAGTCTTGCATCTGCACATGTCCCCTTCCAAACCACTGTGCAGGGAAGGGAGCAACCAACGTGACCCAGTAGAGCTGCTTAGTGATGATCTGTGCAGTGTCGTGTAATCAGACTGCTCTCTTTCTAGGAATTTGCTTCGAAGCGCCAGGGCTAAAACAACTCAACTGCATTGCATGGACATTTGCCGGGCCAGGGTGTGACCTTTTTCTTGAACTGCCCAGGCAGTGGCTCGCGCGCATCTGCTGCCGGCAAGCTCACCACTTCCTTGCGAAGGATTTGGTTGGAAGATCTGTTGCGAGTCTTTGGGATTCTACTATACGAGAAACATGGAAGGTCAACACTACCAGAACTTTCCATTTTGGGAGACTTCGGGTGTCCTGAGCATGTTATTCCGAAATACTTTGCACAGGCCACCTGGATGAGACCAAAAACCCTGAAAATGAACGCCCGATGACCATAAGCTCTAAAGCCTAAACCCCAAACCCAAAACCCCGATGACCATGAGCTAAGCCCTCAACATCATGAGCTCTAAGCTCTAAACCCTAATGACTATCAGGAGCTCTAAACCCTAGACCCTAAACCCTAATAACCATCACGATCTCTAAGCCTTAAGCCCTAAACCCTAATGACCATCATGAGCTCTAAACCCTTTTTGAACGAGGTCTCTCTGAAGTGAGCTTTAAACCCTAAACCCTAAACCGTAAACCCTAAACCCCAATGACCATTATGAGCTCTAAGCAGCCTACGAGTCTCAAGGGTCTCCAGCCCGGGAGCCTCTGAGCAACTCCCTCAATTTCCAAGCTGTGTCAATCACGTTAGGGTACATACCATTCATGAATACTACTCTTATCATTATTACTACTAGTACTGTAAATAATAATGAAAATAACAATATAATAGTGATTATTATTGGTATAATAATTTCATAATGATCTTATTATTGGTATTACTGTTACTTTTAGCACTAGTGCTATAATAGTAATGATTATTGCTACTAATGTTGTCGTTGTTATTGTTTCGATATTATTATTGTTGTTAATAGTATTATTGATAGTACTAGTACTACACTGATAGTAGTGATTATTGTTATTAACAGTATTACTATTAATATCATTGTTATTGTCATTATTGATATTATTATTCGTCTTATTCTTATTCTTGCATTATTATTATTGTATTCTTCTTCTTAATACTATTATTATTAGTATTATTACTACTATTATTATTATTATTAGTACAGGTACTATAATAGTAATGATGATTATGAATAATATTTCTATTGTTATTCGTCTTCTTAGTCCTATTGTTATTATTACTACATTCTTGATATAATGGTTGTTACTATTAATACTATTGTTGTTATTATCCCTAAACCCTAAACCCTAAACCCTAAACCCATACTATTGCTGTTATTATTCGGGTTGAGGGCCGGCCTCCTCGCTGTCGCTGTCATGCTGCCGACTCGGGGCGGTAAATCGCCTGAGAAGCGGGGAGTTGAGGGTCTAGGGGTTTAAGGTTTAGGGTTTAGGGTTTAGGGTCTAGGGGTTTAAGGTTTAGGGTTTAGGGTTTAGGGTCCAGGGGTTTAAGGTTTAGGGATTAGGGGTTTAAGGTTTACGGTTTAAGGCTTAGGGTTTAGGGTTTAGGGTTGAGGGTTTAGGGTTTAGGGTTTAGGGTTTGAGGTTTAGGGTTTAAGGTTTAGGAGTTTAAGGTTTAGGGTTTAAGGTTTAGGGTTTAGGGTTTAGCGTTGAGGGTTTAAGG